CATGTTATTTGTACTAGTAAAGTGGGTTATACATCACTTTGGTTTGTGTGAACGTATTTTGCCTAGGTGAAATGATGTACGTAACTATGTCGGCAGGTGTGGAGGGTACACATTTCTTGTCGTTTGTGGGTGTATTTTCGCGTTAATAAAGATGGGCATCTGCTTATGTTGGTTGGTGTAGCTGGGATTTTGTATATATGTCGTCGAGTATGTACCCCTGCTGTTATGCGTGGATGTGTTCTTGTATTGTTGAGGTTGATTATGTGCCTCTCTTTTGTGTTCAAATGTACTTTCCTACTATTTAAATGGAGCGTTGGCCTGTGTAGCCGTTTGTGGATGTGTTTTTGTGCTTTTTATTAAAATGCACGCTCACTTGCTTTAGCATTGCATTAATTTCAAAATAGTTAAGTGAAACACCTATATTTCTATTTAATTATTGTTTTGTATTTGTAGATTGGGGCACATTATGCCTGATATGTGCCTGCATTTTTGTGTTAGTGAAATGGGGTATGTGCCAACGTAGTATACACCAATATTGGTTCGCATGAATGATTTGAATTGTGGAAGTGTTTCTGGTGCCTATTTTGATGTGAATTGGCCCATGTGCACCTGATGGTATTTGTGGATGCTTAATGTATCGGATAAATGGAATTTATTCTCATGATTGTGCGTGTGGATGTATCCTTGAATTTGTGAAAGGGCGTAGATTGTCAACGTCGTTGTGTGTGAGTCCTCTCCAAATAATTTTACAAACTTTTATTTCACTTTGTATAGGTGGGGTGTTTAGTGCTTATTTGCCGTCCAAATGCACGTCGACCACCTGCTCTCGCGGTTCCATTATGAGCTTTGCTGATTGTTAAAAATTTTCAGGTACATATCTGCCTACGTAATTCATGGAGAAGTTGAAGTGGGACTTTTTGGATGAATCAGACGGTTGTGGAGGAGACAAGGGTGACAAAGACAGAATAGTGCAGCGTCGCGTAAACAAGTATTATTTTCTTAAGTTCCCATCTTTGTACGTATTGGTGCATAAAATTTTGCAATCGTTTGGAACTAACTGATGTTTTTTTGGGTTAAAAATGTTTCTGCTGTTCACATAACCACTTGCCAAAAGCTTAATTCCACAACGTGTTACCATGTCTGACTACTGTGAATGAATAGTTCACTTTTTGCCACAGGTAGGTATTATGTAACACCGTGAAGTTGGTGTTGTTTCGCCGAGTTTGGGTGGCACGTTGATCACTTGGTGAGTAGCTAGGTGTAGAGGACATCAGGTCTCCTTTGGCAGCCGTTGTAGCGATGGCGGTGGGATAAGTGTTCACTATAAAGGAATTCTTTTGAAATGGTACGAGTCATAGTTCTGGAGTGTCAGTTCTAGCAGTTTCCTACCACCTGTCCTTTGCAAGAATTGGATACGAAAAGCGCACCAATTTTGTGATCAAGAAAGTGTTTAGTAATATTCCCTATGGACATTTCTCGCTCTATCAGCTGAGCATTTTTTGTCGGGGGTGATTTTCCCGCTAAATATGTAGGACTTACCCGTGGAGTGTAAAAGCTTAGTGAATTGTAGACCTGTTGGTGGGAGAGTTAGGAGGTTAGGAGGCGTTGTGGAGAACTCGGTCGCTTTCAA